TCATCTACTGGCAACCATCAAATTACCTGGTATAAAGATAATCGAAGTCGGAGGCACTCATGACATCGATGACTGGGAACAATGGACACAATGCCACCAATGCCAGGGAAGCAATGAGGAGGACATTCTGTTAGTGCCCCTATTGCGAAGAGCTCATTGGTACCTGCTGCATCTCGACCGTAGAAAACGAGTGATTTTGGTGTACAATCCCGACCGAAGAGTCACAGACTACCAGCTGCGTGATATATGCAAAGCTATTATTGACAAGTACACTGGTACAAGCTCACAAACATGGAAAGAGCCCACTGATATCAAGGTACTGAGCTGCGTTTGCGTCTCAAGATAGGTTCGGCTGACTGTCTTAACTAGATCCCACAAGAAGGCCACGCAAATGAAAGCGGTATGCGTGTCTTGCTTACAGCTCTCAATATCGTCGTTCGGAAGCCTTTCCCAAAAGCTTACGATGTTGATCAATGGCGGCTTCTGTTTACATCTGTGGTCCAAGGATCTCCTGTGGCATTAGAGCACGACAAACGGGTTTTTGCCGACTTCCCTAATTATGACTTCGAACTTGTAAAGCTGAGTGTTGATGAATTAAAGAAGCTATTAGACCAATGTGAAACGGCTGATAGCAGATTGACTAGACGGATACAATCTGCAGATGATCACATCTCAACGATTGCAAGGCTCCATTCCAGCCTCGACCTGAGCCTTCAGATGATCAACACGGAACTCGAGCGAGACTCGAACCATTATCAAGCGTGCTTGCAAAGATCTCGTCATCTGCAAGACACGTCTGACATAGAGCTCCAAAAATTGTTGTCCGAACGTATACAAGAATATGAGAGCAAAAAGTATCAGCTTCTGCAGCAAAAAACCCACTCAAGTGTACTTCTGCAAGCTGCATACAATATTCACGACAGTATGGTCGCGTACCTAGAATCAGAGCGGACAGATTTTGACAGAAAAGTACGGCCCATTATTCAGTCATTGGTGGGTAACTTGAGTTGGAACAACGGACACGACTTTGAATGATGATAGGTGGTTGGAGTTCTTGTTGGGTACTGCCCTATTCAATCTGCGACATGCCTTGAGCGGTTCCATCATCGCCAATTCTGCAAGGAAGTTACAAGATCGAAGGTTTGAGACTTTTCCAGTCTGGAGTAATTGCGCCTACAAGGAATAGGATTCTGCGTGTGGAACGCGGAGAGTACAATAGATGAGACATAGTCTTTACCTCGGCAAATTTCTACTTCTTGAGCTGCAAATTGGCTCAATCGAGTACCCCATTAAAAACAATGATTTGCCCTGATCCCGGGTCGACTTCATCTGGCACAAGTGAGCGAGCAGTCGAAGTTTCATTCTTGCTGTCAACATCTAGGACTTAGATTGACCTTCCGAAGGACCGGCATTCCAAAACTGCCTGACTTCCAGAACACCTCTGGATCCCAGCTGTTGGAGTGTTCAGGTCTTATTCAGAGTACCGGGATACGCTCGTCCCTTGGCTCGCATAGACAATCACAGAGATGTTTGTTTGCCATAATGAGGCAATGCTCCATGCCATAAAGATTGTTAGTATACTTGATGAGTATCTCTCCAGCCTCATTGAAACTTCTTGATTCAAGCTCATGACCCAATGGCGACCTGCCCAGGGTGGACTATCAAGATTCGTCGGAGTGCCAGAGGTGTTGTCGTGAGTCATTGAACTCTTCGTTACTGGCGCATCAGGGTCTCGATTGTGAGATGAGGCTCCCTCAAGCATAGCTTCAGGCGTGAGGTTCGAAATTGTGGCTACTTCACCATCAACATCTACCTGCTAAGTTAGACGATCTGCGAGCAAATCTGGAGAACCACTCTGGGCCGAAGCATGGCTGAGTGCAGTGATTTCAATTTCCGCGCTCTCGTCGATGCTCGATTAGCAGTTCTGTGTTGTATTTTCTGTCCTGATCTTATCTCCATAGGCCCTGGACGCTTGGGAGTGCGGCCGGCGGCTTCTGCAACTCCATTGAGTCTGCGACCAACTGGTCTCGCTTGCCGAATGGTGGCACCGGAACTGGATCGAGTCGTTAACGCCGCTCCGGTGTTTTCAAACACAACTTCCGGTGTTGGAGTTAAGGTGACCACTCCGCGGTTACAATTCGACAAGCGTGCAACTGCCTCGTTTGGCGTGGTAGCAGGCACTCCATCGGTTTCTGGTGTTCTCTCAATAAGAGCAGGATACTTTTGGTGATGAGAGTCACGGGCTTGCTGTTGACCAACTGTTCAGAATGTAAAAGCGCACCATCGTGACTTGCGCGCGTATGGATCTCAAGCACACCCTACGTCTTGCCTGGATCGTGTGTTAGAAGGGACATCCAGTACCAAGGTAAGCCTTGCAATTGAGTTTAGTTTGATCTCTGATCTCATCGCCCAACGGGACCAAATGTTTCGCTGCGTGACTGCGAGATAAGCAGCTAGACGAAGACGTAGCGGCGCACGTCAAGGCCCACGGACAGGCTGGCTGTTCACGCTGATCCCCTTGAGGAAGATTCAGCTGTAATTTACACACATAACGTACTGTTGTCTCGTTGCCTACTTGGTCTCAAGCAGCATTTTGTGAGTCAACATCCTGCTTTCGTGTAGCGTTCGAACGGCCGTGACATTCATTATCACATCTTCGGCGATCTGTACCTTACCTGCAACTCATGTTGCGCTTTCAATGGATTCGATCAATATACAAAGCTACAGTTTTTGGTTCCGTGCCAGAGATTATCAAATTCTGATGTATGGTTAAAGTTCATATCACGATCATCATCGAATGTTCGCAGCGACATTGTGATGCCTCCTGATTCATTTCTGGCCTTATCAAAGTATGGCATGAATTCTGCCATGACCCAGCCTATCCCGATAGCGCTCGCCTACTTGACAAGATAGAGAAGAAGCATCATGACACCCTCCTCGAAGCAGGTACAGGTCAGTGAGTAAGCGAGTTGAAGATGGACAATGATGTATCGAGAAAATTCACAAGTGAGGATGTATCCTGCTCTAGCAACGGCTATTTCTCGGGCTAGCATATGTACTGAGCTCTACCTTGTACATCTGCCTGATCCTCCTGCTTTAGGATTAATGTCAAAGTGCACGATGCTGGAAATCTTCTGTAGCATTGAATGCGAACCCATATGATGTCTCTTCGCGCCTCGTATCGGTACCGACCCTGAATAAGGGAAGCCTGCCGATGGGTTTTCTCAGCGACAGAAGCCTCCTCGCATCTAAGAAATGTTGTGATGGAAGCACCTTGGGTGGCGACGACGGTGCTAAAATCTCTTCAAAGGGCAGAATGGAACAACAAGGAAGTGTAGGCCTGTCGGCTGGGTATAGGCATTCCTGAAATAAGAATCAATGTACGAGCACTATGGTTGTCAACAATGGCTCCCATGTGACCAGATAGTAGGGACTTACAAGGTTGGATCTGGTCGGGTTGTGGAGGGCGTATGGCTGCATGAACGCGCTACGAAGAGAAAGGCTGTCATAAGAAACAGCCTCTTCAATGGCCTTGTCAAATGTTATGCTGATCGGTGGAAGAGACAGCGGAGTTGTGCGGGTGGAAAGGTTATAATGGATTTGTTTGCGCGCGAGCGGGTTCTCGAGATATGCAGCACCATCACTTCCTTATAGCACGACCTTTGAGACAAACAACACCATGGATGCACTCTTTAGAGATGTGTAAGCTGTCAGACTGCAGTAACGAACCTGACTCCTGACGCACGCATGAGTACCAAGCTTGGTTGTGATTGTAGTCTGTCTGACGATATGTATTCACAAGCCTAAAGAGAGCAATGGCACCCATCATGAGGCATTACCTCATTCCCCCTCTCATTCGCAAAACTCCTATCGAGCTCTAGTTGTACGTGTTATTATACGTTTCCCATCCACTCCCGTCGTTGTTGTTGTACTGGTTTCATTCTTGTATTCGTGTGCGGCTCGAAACGTGAAACCATGTTTTGTGAGATGGTGGTTCAAGAGAGGGACAACTGCTTTGTTCTCCTAAGCGACACTCTACTTGTACAAGAGTCACACGCAGGTGGTTTGTAGACGTAAGTACATCTAAGAAAGATTACAGCATGCCCTGTGAGACTGTCTGGAATGAGCTATACAAACTTACATTCTCTTTTCTTACAAATTTTTAACACAAAATACGACCTGGCGCATCACGTAAGCTGGTGACGTGACTTCTATTTGTGACGAAGTCTACTAAACGCAAAGTGATTTATGGGCCAGCTATTTACTTATCCTCACGTCCACAAAGCATGCTTGCCGCGCTCGATAGTCTCTAGAGTGCGGAAGTTTTTTTGTAACCCATTTACTGTCGAATTGGTTTGGCACAGTTTAGCATGTACCACCTATCACCATATCCAAGTCCTGGCGTATGGCTTCAGGATCCCAAACATTTACTGGAGAAAAAGCGGAGAGAACGAGCATACGCACGGGTACCAAAAGAGAAACAAGAGCCGGCGGGAACATATGACAGCGCACAGCGGCTTGGCCCTCTCCTAGATCGATATAACCAGCTGGAGAAGCGTATCAGAGATCTAGAGAGAAAACACACCGCTCTTCCTAGGACAGTACGTCTATCGACTCTCGCTCGGCGATCATACCAATCCGCTAGTGGAAACTAGGATTGGGTGGGCTAAAAATCACTGGGTTTCGGCAGCGACGCTTACGCTCGGTTTTAGCACTCGTTGAGCTTTGTGATATAATATCTGCTCAATCGCTGTTTCTAGCGTCGAGCGACTATGCTCGATCCCTCGAGAACAACAGTTGTTGTTCTCCATTCTTAATGCCTCTTCGAACCACTTCCAGTCCGGAACAGTCTGTTCATAAAAGAGTCGTACAAATCAATCGTGTGCATCGTTCATTGGGTAATCGCTTGGGCGATTCCAACCCAAGTTTACTGTCACCAGAGCAGAGACTGACTTCGATGGTTGGCATGGATAAAGCTAGTCGAAATCTGCGTTCACCACACTCCAAGAGATGTTTGCACTTATCTCTACTGCTAAGCTACAAAAGCCAGATTGTCACAAAGTGGAATTTAATGGCTATACTGTAGTACGTTTTATCTTTCCTTTTCCTTTTTCCTTCTCTCTCTTTGTCTCTCTCTTGCTAGTTAGGCGGCCATACTTCACGATGATTTTCCATTAAATCCGATAACCTACTCATTTATGCTTCCGATATCGTCCTAGATTCGCTTATGAACGTGCTTGCCTTTGCAGCTGCGCTACTAGATGTACATAGGTACCTCTAAGAGTATGTAAGAGTATGTTGTATAGATCGAGTGACGATGCTTCTCTAAAACACCGTCTAAGAACGTCTCGGGGCTTTAGGTAGAGTGCTTTGCAACCTGATAGCGTCTAGAAGACCACAACGATAGTCATGGCTGATACTAGTATAGCACTAACGAACGTCCTTATGTGATGTCTCTTGTGCACGCCGTTCATCGTGTAACGGCTGACTTCTGAATCATTCCTCATGATAACAGAGTTTGGGACAGTTTGTTCCGGAGCCTGTGATGGAACATGAACGAACTGTACGATTAGATCATCGTCATTCACTCAACCGACCAAAATCTTTCCTATTCACGTGCCCTAATTGCTAGTGACAACAATCCGGCTCACATGTCTCCCCTAGGTAACATATCTGGTGGTTAAGTCGGAAAAACCACGCAAAGATATGGCTCGAGACTAGCGGAGTAGAGAAATGTATGGAACACTTTCTAGTTCTCGTATTCTGGCATCTTATGCACGGATGTCCCAGCAATGGCTTAACAACATAGCGCAGACGTCACTATATTGCTCATGAGGAATTTCACCTCGTTCCTAAACCATCCAACTCTCACTTGAGGCACCAGAAAGGTGCCACATCTTGAGCATGGTCTTGTAATCTCGGAGAAGCATAGGGCTGCTCTGAGCCCTTAAGACCGCTTTTTCCGTCTTCCACGACTTTTGGCAAATGAATCATGAGCAATCATCCCGATGACCCTGTACCAGAGATCATCTTAGATAGATCAAGTCGTGGTAATGGAAGGACAGGCATATTGAGTGTATAATTTTTGTACGAATATACACCGGTCGAAGATGAGTGTGAACGTCTCGATTTGTCCAAAGATCTTCTACATTGGGGCCCACAATGTCAACTCGCGCGTTGCACATTGGTACACCAATATGGGTATCGTTGAAGGTGACTTAGGAACTCGACCCTCGAAAAATACTTCATAGAATGAGAGTAGCATATAAAGTCAGTCTAGTTAAACTCGACAGCACAAGCCAAAGTCGCATTGTTTCTACAACAACAAGATTACTCGCGCTCAAATTGTATCAACGAGCGTGTTGCATGATAGTCTCGTTTTGACGTCTTCGAGCACTGCCCGAGTGCACACTGTCACAGTAGGCAAGGGTACACATCAATTTGTTCGCGACGCCCTGACAGTCTCAGCTGGCGATATGGTGACGTTCGAATTCTTTCCGCTCGTTCACTTCGTGGTTAGAGCACAATATAGCTACCCGTACATCCCCTACGAGAACATAGTGCCAGGCCAAGCTGGATTCTTCTCGGGCCTGTTTCCTGTGTCCGAAATCTTTAGTAATGTGCGCATCAATCGACCCGTGGAGCCGATCAGGGGCAATTTCGTTGACGTAATAGCATAACCCTCAACATGGAACCTCAATATCAATGACACAAACCCAATATTCTTCTATTGTTCGGCCTCGGGCTCATGTATCTACTATCAGATGGTCGGCGCCATCAATTCAGTAAGCAGGCTTCGGGCACCGCGAGTAGCAAGAATTACAACGTGCTGTGACAGGATTTGTCCACGTCGGTCACTCAACAGAAAAGGCTCGCCGGAACTTCGGATTGTATGCTACAGCCTGCGGAGGCGTCTCCTTCTGAAGCGTCTTCGTCAATCGCATCAGAGTTTGCAGCTGCTTCAACTCATTCAATATGAACTTCCAGCATCACACCAGCAACCACGAGGGAGTCTGAGGCATCTACATGCAGACTACAGCCTCCTGCCATCGCCGGAATCGTCGTTGGTGTCGTTGCGCTATGTCGCATGATACTGGGAGTCATCTTCCATTATTCTTTCCGGCCCTGGATCAAAGGTCGCGGCAAGGCTGCTGAAGCACCCGTACAATTTATGACGTACGAGACTTACAGTCAGCTTCAACATTCGATCTCGAGTCAGACCATGAGCGATACCACATATCACACTCCGAACACTCCGAGCTCAACTCCTTGCAAATCTCCGTTTTCCCCAAATGCATTGAGCGAGGGCATCATATCTCCCAGTAGCACTCACCGTCATGTGCCAGGTCCTATCGAACAGGATTCTAATGCCGTATACGAGCTCTCCAACGATCCTAGATCCGGAGAGGATTTCGCAACAGTACCTCAATGATCTTGTTGTTCTCTTCCAACTTCTGTCCTACAGTTCAGTCAAGGATCATACAAGTTGTTCTGTGCTGTCGTTGTCTGGGCATATGATGCTGTATCAAGCCTAAAATGGCCCAGGCTGTGAAACATTAAAAAGGTCATCTGGCATCTATTATGGCTACTGAACTTACCGCAAGAAGAGCCTCCTGCAGCCTGACAACAAAAACTCAACCGTGATAACTCGCTTGATAAGATCTGAGATGAGGAAAGGGTGATTGCTATACTGTTCAGTATTGGTTATCAAGTTAGAGAACAATGTAAGGCTCTGTTCATATGAAGACAACAACGCGACGGTAATTCTTACACATTTTGTTCTCTGTTTTGCTATGTCCTGCGAATGTCTGAGAGACGTGTCGAAACGTATGACCTGGTTTCACGATGAAGTGACCAGTACAAGTGATCATCATGCTTGAAAATCGCTATTTGTTAGGGAATTTAGAAGGATGAATATGGAGCTTCGAACGGTTGAATTCAAGAAGGATTTATTCTGTACGTGGTTCATCAAACGAATCCATTCGAGAGGAGTCACACTGCACAAGGATCTTCCAGAGGATCTCATACTAACATTCATCACGTAGAACTCAGGGAAAGGAGGCGCTCTATCACTAGTAGGTCCATCTTCAGCGTTCGAGAACGCTTGAAGGTCCTGTCTCGGAACGCTTCCTATTCCCATGGTCTATGTTGTTCCTTAGTTCTGTTTTCCGCTGTAATGTTCATCCAATGCCATTTCGCGACCACGTCTAGTAGGATTGATCAAGCGCGTGCTTAGAAACAATAACTTCTAGCTTGAAGCTACAGGTAAACCAGGCTCTTCACTTGTCTTGACAGCAATTTTCGAACACTAAGAGTCTTTGCGGAGTGCAAGATCATCTATAGAGATTTGATCTGGCCTGGACTCTTCGTCTACCTATAACACGTGTAGTTAGTGTTCCGCGTCTCAGGGACCCGTGAATATTGGCAAACACTGCCGCATGCCAACTTTATAGGCTGCTGATCTCCGAGATTTCCTATCTTGCGCAGACTAAAAATTAATCCCTACCTTTTAGTGACCCATCGGCTCGGTGCTCATGCTCTGAAAAGGTCTCGCGAATTAGAGCTAACTCTGATGTCACCCTTCTCAATACAGCATTTTGCTCAGACCCTCAGTAACACACATGATTTTCGTACAAGCGAACGAGCTGAAGCTAGCAGCTTGATCTAAGATGCTTAGTGAGCTGACAGCATAATTTATCTAGTAATTATGGAAAATTTGAACGAGACAATGGAAGAGGTCAGGTCCGAACTATTGACGTACGAACGAATAGCGTCCTTCACACATCTGGACGAATTAATCAAGGAATAAGACTACTAGATGTAGCGGCATTGTGATTATGTCTCTTAGAGTGGAAGCTCCTTCAAATACGTGGACTTTGATTGAAACGGATTCAACCATCTAACAGCAGCACATACCCATGACGTGTCCTTATGTGTACTTTTGGAGGGATTCAGAGTTCAAAAAGGACGCCCATATATGGATGTCTGGATAATCTAGTCGCACATGTACCTGTCTGTCTTTCAGATAGCCTCACAGTCACTTGATCAGACATGAGCGTGGACAGCAACATTAAGTCACACGTCAAAAGGATTCGTGCATCAATGAAAATGTATTCGTGGCTGATTTGGTACAAACGAGCTTGTTACTAAAAGCAAGATTGCTGAATCGATCACGTCGACGGTGTATGGTAAATATCAATGTAAATTCTGTGAGTACAGTTGTGATGGAGTTGGCATCCTTAATAGTGATGCCAGGCAGAGCCTGCAAAGCCAAGAATAAGTCGTTTTCTCCATGCTTGAGACTGAAGAACAGACTATCTGCAATTTGAGCTCGATTTGGGCTCAGTCTTGACATTTAGGAAGGAGCTCGTCTGAGGGCAAATACGTGCAATATGTGAAGGGATACCCATGGGCTAGAGAATCATCGATGAATCGGTTCTCTTCATCCATGTCGTCATTGTTACTATGCTGTCTCAGCCGGGGTAAAATTAGATTTTTCACTCGCAGTAGAAGTCGCAAGCTCTTCAAGCACATCTTTGAAACCGGAGTAGAGGACATCGTGCTTGAATCAAGTAGCGACCCCGAGCTGACCACGCCAGTAAAGCCTAGCGGACCGTGTGGCAAACCAAAGCTTAGTCGTATCGACGGTATGGATAAGCTTTGCTTGTGAGATCAATGCGAGCCTCAATCAAATCGAACCACTCTATCAGATCTATCAAGTTACTGGAAAGACTCAGCTATTATCAGGGCACAATCTGTTTCGGCCTCCTTCTATCTGGCAGGGGTACATAAAAGTCTTGGTCCGCACATCACGTCAAATGTTTTGTCATATTCCATACACTGTCATGTCAGCTACGGTATATAAACGTCTGTCTCAGGATGGAGGGACCAAAACCTTGATCAAGCTCTACACGCTACCATGGAAGGGACACAAGCAAGAAGACTGCGCCTTGCGTGGGGTCTGATATGTTGGGCTGCCATCACAATGGCGCAGACTGATTGCATAGAGGGAACTTGTCGAGAAGCAGACAGTAGTGATGAATATCTACTGTGCGCATCACAGCGCTGGCATGTAATGTCAGCAAATGGATATTCCTGCGTCTCAGGCAGTCTGGTTCCTCCACTGAATACCCCGGCACAGGTCTTTAGTTTCAGCTCTGCTCAACCCAGTGATGGTACATTTGTGGTTGCCGGGTCCAACCTGGAAGCAGTCCAACAGTCAGATGTGCCATTGCTCACTTCTAGAAAACTTGATGGCGCGCTCGGTAGTTCCACAACATTCAGTCAGGCGGATCCAACGCTCCTTCCCACAACCTGGAAATCGTCTAGAGGCTCTTTTGGTATCAAGTCTTATGCCATAGATGGTAAAATGGCCTCAGTGTACGATGCCACGCAGGAATCGACGTTCAGGTGTACTGATATCGAGTATCCTTCTAACGGATACTATGTAGCATTCTGGACGCAATATGATAGTACCCTGATTTCCCAACCAGAACCAGTCAACTGCGGACTATATATGAATTTTACAAATCCACTGACAGGCGTAAGCGCCTCTGCCTTGGTATTGGACCGCTGCGCGAGCTGTGTGGGTGTTGGAAAGCAGCTCAACGATCCAACCACTAGCCAAGGTCTTGTCAATGGAGCTACTGTGGACATGAGTCGCGCCCTCTGGAACAGAATATATAGTGGGGCTCCAGGCGATGTTTATGACATCCTGTATTCAGGCAGACCGCTGCTAGGGATGCCATGAAGCAACATATGTAAGCCACGTCAGAACTCAGGACGGGGGTCTGATACTATTTGTACTCTGAGTTTCGCGTGTTTCTCGATGTTCGAGGCTACTATTGTAAGGAATATCCATCTCAGCTTGTACGCTTACTCGACACGATGTCAAGCCTATGTTTACTCGAGAGAAAGGAGATGTGATGCACCTCGGCCCGAGTGTCACGTCTCTTCTACGCATTACGCTCGAAGCTCGAGTAAGACAAATTAAGGATCCTTGCCCGAATCGATCTCAAAATAGAAATCTGAGACCGTCGATGCCAAGTGCACATGTGGCAGACACTGTGAAATCATCCTATCAGACTATTATGATAGCTTTCCAATGCACTGTCTGAGTCTTGAATTTTATGATTTATTGAGGTCCGTTTTCCTTTGGTCGGATATTCCAGAAACATCAAATGCTGAGGAACTCGAGCAGGCGTTTGCTCTTGAAATAAGTGCGTGCGAGGATTCGTCGACTGCACCAAGTACCGTAAGCTCGGCGGTTGACAGAAGACTGGATTAAGATGTTGAGATTGTCTCGAGTGCTATATCTGCGCGTGACAAGGTAGATTGGCGACCGGGAACTCTTTCATTTGATCGTTAGAAGAGGCTAGCGAAGACTGAACACAATGAGGTTGTAGTCTCTAAGTATGGCCTTGATCGTACGCCTGTATGCTCATTGTCACTGTTCTGCATCTAACCGAAATTTACAGGTCGGGCGTTCGACAAGTCCAAGTATCAAATTATCGTTTTTGCGCTCGATGAGAATCATTAGGATCCTCTACTGTTCTTACTAAGCGTTGCTCAATGTCCTAGAGGATTCGTAATCTAATCAGCGTTGACCGAGAAAGCTAGAGCGTTCCTTTTGATACATGTACGAGAAGCATGAGTGCATCAAGCCTTTTGAAGTCACCAATGTGATAATTAAGCCAATACTGAGATGTATGGAGGGATGCGTCAGGATACGGTTATTTTACAGAGACATGAACGTGGCGTCCAAACTTCAGTACATTACAGTTCCTCGTCAAAAGTCTCCGGACGGCTCCCTGCGGCCAACCACCCCTACGATGCGACAACCCTCGTCGCGCAACGGTTTTGTATTGGATGTTCACCAAATGTTGATAGCACGTACGGGAGATGTTGAAGTTCAACTGGGTCAATCTTGGGACGTCAATATTTGGTATACCACCCCCCTGATGCGATACACGCCCTCACGCGATCCTGCATGGATTCGACCAGTTGCATCACGATTGTTTTGTCGATTGCTGAGTATGCGTGGATCAGAGCATCTTCCATGCGTGCGTGTATCTCGTCATCAGTACCCCCCCAAGTTTCGCAGTCTGGATACAGCTCATATAGCTTCTTCTTCAATAAACTCCACATGTGTTCGATAGGATTGAAATCTGGAGGATATGGCGGCCATTTATCTAGCAATTGGATGCGCCAACGACGTAGCCAGGTACAGGTTTTCCTAGCAGTATGAATAGGAGCAGTATCTTGCTGGAATAAGGCTTTACCTTCTCAAAAAGGCAAGAGACCATACTCGAGTGCTTGAATATAGCTCTCTGAAGTATAGCCCTGCCTTCAAGCACGCATATCACAGCTCATGATAGTCAGATCAGATGTTTCATGGGTCGAAACTGCTCCCCATACCATGACACGTTTATCCTTGCTCTTATTGGTTGGTATAACCATATTTTGATCAAAAGCCTGGCCGGTATGGCGCCATACCCAAGTGGTGCCTTTTCCAGAGCCACGCTCTATAGAACACTCATCTGAAAAGATGACCCGGAACCACATATCAAGTGTCCGATTCACATAATTTTTGCACCACTGAACGAGTCGGCACCGCGTTACCCAGATTGTGATCAGGTTATGGCTAATAGCTTGTAGCTCTGCTCTTCGGACAACATAGCATAGACATGAAATATGCTCACGAAAGCCCAGCTGAGTAATTTGTAGTAATTTTTGCGCCTGGACGCGTCATAGGCAGTGCTAGAAGCTTCATTCTGTGCTTTCTGTGCGAACGTTACGCATGAATCTTCAATGACTGATTTCACCTGTCGCTAGTACTGCATTAAGTTGTAGATTGATTGTTCGAAGACGTTCAAATCCCGCTACGATAGTTACCTGCTCATCTGCTCAGCCAATCGCGTGAAAGATGGCATCCGGATGTCCTTCATCTCCTGGGTGACTTCTTCATGTGGAGTCGCGACCTCCAATCCTTTGTGTGTAGGCAGATCATGCGCTAGTATGATAGTAGTTACGCAACGTGTCTTCATGAAATTCGGTTGCAGAGAAAGTCAAGCGCGGCAGAAATAGTTCCAGTGCTCGGTGCAGAGAGTTGCGAGTCAGAAGTATTATCATGTGCCACTCACGAGATTACAGCTTGGATTCTGCCACGAATTCATGATTTTCAGCTTTCGCTACCCTCTTACCACTTGACGACACAGCCTTGGCCAAAAGTGATACAGCCGATCGTCGCCATGACCAGCATTCTGAATACACAGAACAAGACGCACGTCTCTGATGTCTATCAGACACCGAAACTCCTATGCTCTGCCGAACAAAATGAACAAATCCTAAGCACCGTGGCTTAAGCTTTGCCAAAACACTCCTCGAACTCTAAAAGAGTAGCCTCTCATGGTCAACCGACAGCCATTCAACCGCCCAAAAGAAAAGCAAATTGCGTTACGAGTCACGAGCGCACAAAGCGAGCCTGCCATCTAGTATTGCGATCTGCGCACAGCCAAAGGGATCAAACTTAATCGACCATACAGACCACAGATCCTCTCGATGTCACTTCCATTGGCTCTTCTGTCGATGTCAATGCGCCTCATGCTGACCAGGCCCCCAAGTCCTCCAACGTTCCAGTCCCAAGTCATCCCGCCCACGATGAGAGCAACGCTGCAATCCGAGCTATTGAAGTGCACTACAATGGAAGCGTCACCAGCAGACCAAGATCCGAGCACTTTAACATACATGATTACAATGAGTGGATGGTGGTTCACCAGAAAGTTGCGGAGCTCTTCGACCTTCAGGTAGACGGCGACACACACGAGCTCTACATCAATCTGTGCGATGAGCAATATTACATTGAGCCAAACCATGGTCCTCAACTGTTATTAGCAGAAGTACTGGACAAGTATGCTCTTCTTGATGACACAGAAAGGCTTAAGGTACATGCTGTTGTTCAGGAGCTACATTAGTCATTGGAGGCGCAGACTCGATGCGAGGCCTTCGGTCGAGAAAATCATGTTCTAGGCAATGGTAGCCTCGGTTCTGTCTATATGTAGTAAAATAATGGACAAGTTGAGTCCTCATAGTGGTGTACGAGATATGTAAGCTCCCGACTTGGGATGATTGTATCGAGTGTCGGACTCACGTCGCCCATTCGGGCTCTCAATACTCGACGCAATTCCTGTTACCATGTGTTCATAGTTCGAGAATCTGCTATATACTGGTGTCGACTGATACGGTCTCAGATCAGATAGTTCCACCTAGGAGATGGAGTTTCGAGCTATCTGCTCTTCTATAATTGTCTCAATAAAAACGTGCTTCAAAGGAGTACGCAAATTTGCCTGGAACCCCGACCTAATAGTAGTATACTGGACCTGGAGCATGATTTCCAGATTGTCAAGAGTCGTAGGATCCATTCATTGTCGGTGGCAATGCTATGTAGCACCAAAATATGAAGAAATGCCCGCTGGCTCGAATACGGCAGGAGTTGTTTCCTACGAACTTTGTCAGTGGGTTATAGCTGAGCAGCTCACAATTTGAACGCATCACTCTTTCAGAAGCTTATAGGAGTTTTGAGGAGAGTTATGAACATCACATCCTCTTTAAGGGTCGAATCTAGTGATCGTTCGTCTAGAAGTCGTTTGCTTGACATCTGAAGATGAGGCTTTCACTAAACGTCTTGGCCGACAGACAGCAGGACTTACTCATCTCGGTGGGCGTTCGAGTAGTGTTGGCTCTTTGCCGGACGGTATCTCTGTTTTTGCCACTTGCATCACTCGCATCTGTCGATCAAGTGGTGTGCAAAGAATTTATCAACTCATTCTCTTTTACTTTAGCCTTGGAAAGGATGTTACGCTCCTTATACAACCACCTAAGCTCTGACACTTTGTACTCTCTGCATCACTTTACCAGTAAGTCGTGTTTGCACCACATTCATTCTAGTATGGTTTATGTGGTACCCTCATTCTAAGTCCCCTCCTATGGTCAACTCACGATGTCGCAGGACACGGAAGCCTGTGCGATAGACACACGATGCACTGTAAAGCTTCAAGCGATGATGATGTCAAGCTTGTACATATACCGCTCCTTAGAAACACGAATATCGTCGCTGGGTCTGGAATATACAGGATATGGTCTACGTGGCTTCTTCGGAAGATTACAGCACAACTGTCTGCATACCACTAAATGCTGACGCAGCTGCTGAATCATGGACTGCATGATGCCCTCTCTAGAGAGCGTCGACCGAAGGCTGAGATACAATTGTTGTAACACAGCTCGATCAGGACTTGAAACTGAATGCCGTCTCGTTTCTTGAAGATCGCTGCTTAGCTCACCTACGAACGACTACATGCCTCTCCTCCTTAACCTTCTGCTGCAACCTGCGCATAAAACACCCATCAATGTTGTCCTATCAACCTGATGTCGTTACGGTCTGTCTGTTCTTGATGACTATCACACAAAAGCAAAGTCCTTTGTCCCTGTTCTCTTGTGGGTTGTGGCTATGACAGTAGAAAGAACAGTAATCAGGTGCGAGATAGATCGTTCAACGAAAGAACGTATGGCACCAAACTCAGTATAGTATTAGAGAGTAAAGTTGAACCACACGTTGTAGTTCAAATTAGAAAGGTTGGCATCCGTTCAGGCACTTTGATTGCCTTCGATAACGATGACAAGCCCAAGCATGACTCCAACAACAATAGTGACACATTCTCGAACATGAGCGCACGAGAAAGGGCAATCGCTGCTCAGAAGGGAAACAAGGTCTAATCAAAGGAAAGCAAGTTGGCATGATGAACCACAAGGATGACGTAAGAGGCAGGAGCAGTGGGAGCAAAGGGATAATCGCGCGTACATCGGCGGCATGGACGTTGGCTGGGGGCAGGCGGCTGCTCTCAGTGAAGAAGCTTCGACAGCCTTCCGAAAAGTGCTGTTGAAACCAACGCCGCCGATGGTGTTGATCTTCTGGATGTTGCGGCAGTCGGGCAACAAGTTTATGCAAGGCGAGGAGGTAGCCTTGACGTAATTGGTGATGGTGATGGCCGACACAGCCTTGCGAGTGTCGTCTCCAGTCTGACCAAGGAGGTTGAGGAGAATGGTGGTAGTATCGACGTGGAGTTTGGAGCTGTGGCCATGAAACAAATGTAGAGCTATCCATTTGTGGCCCTAGCAATAAGTCAAGTATTCAGAGTATGCCTGTGCCTTCTGCTCTGGCAGAGTAAGACTCCACATCTTCGGTGCAGGGTGACTCGTTGCCGGCGAGGCTAAGGAGAAAGAGAGAGGTGAATTCGATATCCTCGGCAAACAGAGACTTCCTGACGGTAGAATCAGAGGGAGTCTCGCTGCCGCATTTGTTTGCGCGCCAAGACCGGCTTCTTGAGGCCTCAGCGTCGATATCAACTAAGCCATGAACAGACTTGATGCCCCTCTACATGACAATGTACCTTCGGCTGCCACGGGATGTACTCGGCACCATCCCGTCTCTCTTCTCTTTCGTGGTCATCGCTGCTCTACAGACCGATACTGCTAGGAGCCTCACATAGTACGTGTGTCTTAGTAGGTTGAACCTTGTATTCCTGACTACTGCATCTCTTGGTGTTCGCGTTGAGCAGCATTCCAGCTTCGAAGGCATGTCTTTTTATTCATCTGCCTCCACCAGATTTCATGGTTTAGAAGCACCTCGAGTGGTTGTAACGTCGGCTGTGTATTGCTTGAAAAAGCTCGACTTGACGTGGCTCTTTCTCAGTCGTTAAGAAACTCTCTCCGGCTTAGCGAGAAGTGTCAAAGATCCTCTCGACAAAGATATAGGAGTCGTGATTCTGGTCGTTCAGCTCAAGCGCTCTTTTGAGGTTCTGTGCAACGAATCTGTCGCGGCGAATGTGCTCAATCTAAAACAGGCGCGTGTAGTTGGGAGTGGGTGATGGGTCATTCTGAGAGTACATGTTAGTTGTTGCTAGAGCCACCCTGTCCAGAACTTGGTCTCCCGTCTTTCCGATTATCTCACGAGTCAGACGCTTTCCCTCCCGTGATCAGATTGTTGTGCATGTTGGCGGAGCGTCTGAGAGTTCGATGTAGCTCTCTCACCAACGAGAACTTTCAAAACACGATTTTTGGACTGCCTTTTCTATTATAATCATTTTTACTGATAAGTCTTCCCCTAGCTTTATATCCTGGTAGATTCAGCATTCTTATAGGATTTTTCTATATAGCTTATATAATCTTTCCTAGTGGTGCGCGTAAAGATATATAAAAAAGTTGATTCCCCGAAGATTGTATATCTGGCAGAAAGAAAAAAGGAAAAAAGAAAAATAATCATGCCCCGGGCGCAAGAATTCTTAGATAATTCTTGCACAATAAAAAAACGCTATATTTTGCTGAAATTTGAGAAAACGACTTACATAGATATACGCTACCTGTGAAAATTATTGTAGCGAGAATTAGTAATAAAAGTTGTTGGGGTCATGGTTTTGAATGTCGTCGCTGCAAAATCCTGACATCGAACCCTCAGACGCTCGAACGACGCTCCACGTTTCCGTCCGTGCTCTTTTATACGCGAGTCAAGTGAGAGCGGCTGATTGATGAGATAACTTTCAGATCAGTAACCGGTGTGGCTTGGCATGGTTACATAATCATGTCTAAAAGGTTATCAAGAGGTTATAGGATATAGCATATCAATCTTACTAGGAACTTGGATGTCGGAATTTTCCACTAGAACCGACGATTCCATTCCATGCCAAAGCGGTGGGATATTTCATCAAGATTGGTGGAATATGCCAACATTCTACTTATTCCATGCCATTTAACATCCACTCTGAGTCTCTCTTGGGTCTGCTTGCTGTCGGTATGACCCGCTTAGTATAACGGGCTGACTCAGAATCCTCGCTTGTGTAATTAAGTATTTAATCACATGTGCTAGCCAGTCTGGTGGGTCTTGTAAGATCTATACCACACTTTGACTTCTTGCCTCTTTCGCTTTGGCTATGATCAGGCCAGCTAAGAGCACTAATCTCTCTGAACAATCGGAAACCCCTTCTGCATACTGGATAATATGCTCTTTCCATATACGACAACGGTGAACAGCGCCATGTTCCGAGAAACTCGTCTCCCAACCTCACACAGTCATCCAAAGCCCTCAACAAAGTCTTAGTCGACCTTATAAAGCTTGGACTGAGATAGAACCTGTTTTCGAATGTGATGGCTGACAGCTGCTGTGACTCTCCCACTACGTTCACCTTGTCTCTGAGAAACTCTGCCTGCAATGTCATCCAATCATGGATCTTTATCATAGCGTCCTCTTCGTGCAACGAGGGGAGTTGGTCCTTGCAGTTCTTAACTCGCAAACGAACCTGGACCATTCTGTCATCGTTACTAGTTCTTGCACTTGCCCACATTACAGACCATAACTCCCGGAACCTCTGAGTCATGTGTGTTTTAAGATCTGTTCTCTCCAAAGATCCCTTTTTTCTGGGTGAGTTAGTTTTCTGAGATCTTTCGAAGTGCTTGATACATTCCTCAAGACAGTTGATTAAATGTGCAAGCGTTTGGTTGTAATCTTCGAGTCCGTGCACTGTATTGACCACATCCCTGTTGGCTCTCTTTGTCGCAATTTTCTCCTCAGAAACCGACATGCCCGGTTTTCGTTCCTGTGATTTCTTTGTGCTCATTGGCGCCATTTGACTAGCAAGTATCGGATGGGTGTGGTTAGGATGCATTGACCAAAGTGAGTGTCACAAAGGAGGACGATGAATGGCTTGCTCCTTGGACCTCTCGTTCAAGATTGTGATCGATTTCCAAAGTACAGCCTTTTTGCAGTGTCCTTGAGAAATGTCCAGAACATCTCGTGCAGAGAAATGAACTCAAAGACGAGAAATCTTTCTAGTCGATGTTGATTGCAAGTTACGTTGGACGATGATACTGCAATTCATATCACAGCATGTTCGTCATGATCAGCTAGAGCACTGTCGAAAAAGATCATTCAGAGGATGTTGGCGTAATTTTTCCTCCATGGTAGACTAATATATGCGACTTTGCCTTCCGTCCAAGGGACAGAATCTCGATAGTTGGTTATCATCTGTATGTGTGTGAGATAGGAAGATGGATTCATTGGGTCTGCAACATGGATCAATGAAATCTTATGGTCGTTGAGTACGCTAGAAAGCTTGTGTTTAGCGTATCAAGATCGCATAGCGCAGGTATCGCTATTGACCACGCATATCATGATAGAAAGCACTCGAGAACTTCGATTTGTACTCATGCAAAAGGACGTACTTCAGCAAGGATGAATCCATCGGTAAGCCAACCACAGGAGTGCTTCAGATACTGTTCTCTATCCTGCTGAACCTCACCGTGCAGATCCAAGAATGAGTTCCATCGCAATGCCCTGTGACGACGACAGTGTGAGTATTTTTTCTTTACAGGATGCCCCACAGAGTCACTGATCTATGAACTTTTCATGGTGAATTGATTCGGTGCTCTTACTTGCGCTTGAACACAGAAGAGATGAAATTTTGGGAACCGAAGCAAAATTTGATCAGAGAAGCAAGATTTACTAGAGCGATGATATTCGAGGTGACCATGGTTGAGGCGATGAGCAGAATACAACCAAGGCTTCTGTCGCAAGACATGAATGTCATGTCTCGTGACCTAAGACATACCGCACGAGGTCGCACGCTATTCTCCACGTGGAACATATAGCCCACGTTGCGGCATGCGCAGAACAATACTGAATCCTTGCATCTCATCTTCCTGACGCTCAGATCCTACTAAGCAAGCAAGGAAGCTTCTTTCGTATGCAAGATCCATCCTCTCAAGTACCTCAAGAAGCTTTGAGCGTTTAGAAGGGTAGCTATAGATCCAGGCTATGAACATGTCCAACCAGAGATGTGTCAGTTGGTTGTCGCTGTAATATCTCGCGGATCCTACGTGTCGAAGTAGCTTGAGGGTAATCATATGGTGCAGACCCTGTTCGGCTAGGGAAAGTGGCTGATTGTAGTTCAGGAACAACATTGTGTAATCCCCTTCTTCGAGTTTCTCCACTAGATCTCGAACGACGGAAAGGCTCATCGCCCGCTGTGCTAAGTTCAGATCAAAGGCAGACATCGCAAAAGGCTCGGGATACGCTAGGATGGAAATGGATTTGAGACTGCGAAATTCACTGATAAACTTTCTGATGTCGACCGCAGTCAGGTCGTAAGCCAGTCGATCTTCAAGGCGGATGTGGTGAATATATGACTTCGCAGTTCCCATCTGGCCTTGTATAGCATGTGCGCCCCGAATGTCAAAGCAGAAGCGGTTTGCACTGTAGAATGTATGTGCAACTTCCCCGAACGTCATCCGGGACAATACTAGGAGATCGGGGACCACCGTTATAGACTCGGTCGACCTATCATTTCTCGAGAAGGTCACAGAATCGGATGTGGGCAAGATTTCTGGCTGATTTCGTCGACTCGATGCGAACGCTCCCTCGCTCGGGAGCAGAAAGCTCCAGATCATCTGGCGGATTTCACTTGGGAGGTGGAAGAGTGTAACCATCAGATGGGTAAGAGAGTCCCTAGACATGCATGGTAGAAGGGACATCTGTGCAGATTAAGGATCATATCGCTGAAGGTGAGGAGTGAGTTTGCAAATTGTTCACATCATTGTTTGAGGTTGCAACCTAGGTTTAACTGGTGAGACGAGGCCAACGTGATTATCTGTTACCCTAATTGATCAATGCATTTCATCTGATTGACACGAATACGACGAAAGGAGCAGGTAGTGGTCGTTGACGAACAGTATTCAGACGAATCCCTTTCTTTCGCCTTGCAGCATCGATGGTCTGGTCATGAAGGTGACATGTGAGCAATAGTCGATGCAAAGACTGTGCCTGTTACTGATACTGGATGGAATTGAGGACCGGCACTGTCAAGACGAAGTCACAAGGACATATAGCGTGTGCATTAATGATTGTGTTGTGAGAGAAGAGTATCAGGAGGCAGAGGTTGATGAAACCATGACAGGATGTTGTAGGCGTAGTAGATACCCATCTTCAACTGCCAACTAAGGTTACTGAATTATTCCCAAGTGCTTGATATCGCCACATGGACGCGGCTACCCACGATGAAACAGAGCTCCATGGCCACGAGGCATGTTACTTGGCTCCCACTGACTGATGGTAAGATGAAGCTGCAGAACAACTATGGGAGAGTTGTCCCTGTGTTCTGGCTAGGATTTTCCTACTCTAGCAATAGAAAGTGTGGATGAATCTGAAGTATGCTGTTGGGATCGGATGGTACGAACAGTACCTTCGTGATCTAGGCAACTCATCATGTCTCGTATCGACTTAATCATATAAGGCTAGAGCGCAAGCTCTCGTGTTAAGCTTCCTTCCTTTCCAGTAGACACATAGACCCCTTTGACAGTAGCTGTAGGTAGGCAACAGTAGCTAACGTCTGTTCCACTCCAGATGCACTAGTTCGAACTGTCAATGTTACAATATGGCAGTCGGGATGACAGATGTTGCAAGAGGTAGTCGGCGTCACAAGTGCTTTGGAGTCTGGACGGTATTCAAAAGATCAATCAACACACAACTCCATCCCTTGATACCCTTTTCCTTCCGGGAGTTCTACCTTGCGACGATCGAGACAATTGAAATCATCACACCCCGATACAATCAGGATTCGTACAGACATTTCGCTTCGACTAGCAGGTCAGCCGGGGTCTTGCACTCGTCCCGATGCCCGCATTGTCCCCAAGCCCGCTAGGCGTTTCGTTACTGGCCGGTGAGGGACCCTGTCAACACATGGCAAGCACATGTTGCCTTGATTTACCCTCGAAGCAACATACAGACTTCTGAATTGCTCGGCATTCTTTATTCGAGGACAATTCCTATCAACGTTTGACGTCTCTCGTTGCATCGATCGAATTTTTTACCCCGTGCGTCTCTCAGTGGGAAAGAAAGAGGGAAAGGAAGGTCGAGCGCAGATATAATTAACCCTGCACTGGTGGCAGTGTAAGCGAGCTGGCTCTAGCAACTTGTGTCCGGTCAGGCTTGCTTCTTGCGTCGCAGTCACATGTCTTGACATGCACAATCATCACCGACTTGCTCGAGTGTGGCTACACTGCCAAGGCTTGCCTGTTGAGGCTATATTGATGTGCTGCAAGTATGCCAGCTAGCGCTATTGCGAGATGGCACGATGAGAGGGCGCTCAAGATAGACACTTTGACGCTGACGCTGGGAGAGAAGAGCTCGCCAAGACTTATACATGGTAGATCATGATCCACAGGAAGCAGAACACGTTTTCTCTGTGACTAGACAGCAGTGCAGCGCCATGAGTAGTAACATCTTTCCAGAATTTCCGTATATTGTCGAGGGCTTTTGAAGCTTGTGGCATGCGTTGTGTTCTGATCAAATGCTTTATCTACATAACAAGCATGTCATAAGCCCTCTCGTGGTCATTATCCAATGGGATTCTCATACATCTTTTCTACCCCCGTGTATAAGAGTCTCTGTCTTCCTGTACTTCGCGACTCCAAAGTACGTTCGATAGTGCGTTGTCCTCGACATGCTTCTAGCCACTTTCTGGGCTACACTATGGAATCAGCACCTGTTGGAGACCCTGAACCAAAACACAACACTCCTTATCAAGGTCTCATCGACTGTGTTTGTTCTCGTCGTGGTTACATCCCTCTCACTATCCTTAGTCTTGGGAATGACTAAGAATCTCTCTGATATGGTGCGCAGAGTCCTTGGGCATGATAGCCGTCGTCACAATCTTGACCCAGATTTTCCATGAATGGATGTAAATGCAAACGCAACGATTGTCTCTAACCTCGAATCATGCTACACCTAATCGATCGTACAACTACCCCTTCTACTGGTTGAGATTGTGCTGGCTAGATGCACTTCTTGCGACGAGTGGATCTCCGTGTGGACTTTTGCGGAGTGAAGCACTTCAGGATCTTATGACTTGGCTAGTCCTTTGCAAGAACTGTCTCCAGATAACCTATCTAAGGACGCCCGCAACTTGTACTCCAGGAGTGGCGACTGACAAAGGATCAAGACGAGTCAGATGGAGTCAAATTGAGTCAAATAGGGTGCAGATAGATTGCAGACTTGAGCTACTACCAGATCCTACTCGTTAGGTATCTGCGACCTTTCGTATCGTTGTATCATGCTACAGCGATCCTCTGACCACGCTGACCCTTGCAAGTAACTCTTGTCTGTGACACTTGAGACCTTACCCATTTCACTTGACGGTCAAGACCGGACAAATGCTGAGCTGTGGTGAAGAAACCCGAAGAAAGAGAAGGCTCGTTATGCGAGTGCTCATCACGCGCTTGAGCACGGGTCCCTCTACTTGACTTGCCCTCATCGGCTCGTGAGAGTGTCTGTTGTCGGATGCGGTTTTATTACAGCATATCTCACAAACTTTGGCACGATCACACCTCAGCTTCACGCAGTCATGAGATGGACACCTCTTTCTTTCCTGTCGGACAAGTTAGGCTTACTTCTCCCAATGACTAGTGCATGGGCGATGAGAGTGATAAGACGAGCAAGACCGCTGCCAATCGTGTCTTATACTTGATGCATTCCTTCGGGTCATGCAGAGATGCAAAATGAGCAGATATCCACGCCACGTTTGTAAAATTCCACTCGTGCATCAACGCGATAATCAACAGCACAAGATTGCATATTCAAATCTGAGGACTCAGTAGTGTAGCTTGGGCTTTTGGTTGTTACGCAACTTGTGGCCAGGAAGTCCCGCCCTGCCTCTGTCTAGCGCATCGGCTGTCGATTTGGTGCGAAAAGACGGCAAAGAGAATAAGGGCAGATAGTCTGGTCAGATTGTTGCAGTAGACGCTGTCGAACGTGAATGAGTAATCTTGGATCATGACTATCTATCAAGGAGGATCGCGGCGATTCCTCGAGACACGAGAACCAACCTCTGTAACAAAACGTGGTCACTCCAAGTATGGACTAGCAGCATTTACGGCTGAGATTGCCGCGCGCTAAATACGAGTAATGCGGGCACGAAGATAGGAAGACATGACAGGGACGATCAGCGTGGCGTGAGGATTGCGCAGACCCTGCGGAGTGTGTGGTTGACTTTGAACATGCGGCTCCCATGCCGCTTTGGCACGTGGCTGAGTGGTGTGATACGCTGGCTTCCAACCTCGTGGCATACCACTTATCGAGCCTCTGTATGGAGAAAAACAATGTGATATACAATTTCTAGATGACAAAGAGGGCAAACACAGGGACTCTTCGATCATCAGTCGCCCGTGCGCGTTTCTTGGAGAAGCAATGATGATATTTTCCTGAGTTTGGATGCCCTGACTCTACCTATCGCACAAGACTCTAATGGTCAAGGGATCCTCCGGTGGTTGGTCTGGATCTTCGTGAACGATGCATCTTTAGATACACAAATCTCGTGTTCCCCAGGGATGTGTGAGATGTGAGATGACCAGACTCTCACGGCTTGTTCCCACGGCTGCTGGGCAGGTCCGTCGGGCTGAACCTCTCGACTCGTCTCCCGATCTGCCTCCTGGCCCACAGGGCTCTCGATCACAAATCGAAGACTGACTTTCATCGAGCTCGGCTTGTTCTTGAGGCTCGACACAAGTGCGCTCTGCCTGCCTCGTTCTTGCGTTTGGCACAGGGCGTCGCACGTATAGGTGATCGGGTCCTGGGCGGTCCCTATGCCCGCTGGTGATGCGGTCCTTGTGCTTCCTGCCTCCACCAATAGAAGTTGCTGAGGGCTATCAGACGAGTCTGTCGAGTCACTCATAGGTGGAGCTTGGTCCACCACTTGACCGTACATTCCCGGCATCTGGTAAGACGTGAGGTCGGTGGTAAGCCCTGTGTTGAGGTCTTCGCTATAAGCCGGAGACCATGCTCCACCTTGGACGCCTCCCTGGCCATAGTGGAAGAGCGACTGCGACGCATGATGGTACGGAGACTGATACGAATACTGGTTGATCGGGAGATTCTGGAAGGTTGACTGTGAATAAAAGTTGGGAGCGCAGGAGTATTGATCGAGCATAGAGTCGGGAATCGGCAGCGAGTATTGCGGCGGGTAAAAGGACTGAGGGTTGCCCCACAACAGCATTTGAGGAAGACTGTCGGAGTGTCTTTGGTCGTAAGAGTAAACGTCCGAAAAGTTGACTATTTTGTTGGTCAGCGAGCTGCGTAGTCCTAGAAGTGGCAGTCGAGGCAAGATATGGGAGTCTCATACTAGTACTAGTCATTGTTGCGTATCTGAATCGAAGCTCACAATTGCACGAGAAGGTTGTGATGCCGGCGGGCATAGTCTCAAGTGTCCCTCGAGCTCTATATACCCAACACACTCGAGGAGACACCCAGCCCACCTCTCTTATCCTGTGATGCAGACACATGGGCAAGCAGATAGAGAATTGCACATACGCCAAGGGCACGAGGATCCGTTGTGGTCTCATCAGGTGCAAACCCCCATTGGCACGTTGCCTCCATGCCGCGCCAATCGAGGAGATGCAGGTTTCGATGCCTGGTCCGCAATATACCAACACTACACACAGACCTTGATAAGGCGTGGATGTGCACTCGACTACCAATCGATAGCATCGGAGTCCAACACTATCCCGGTGTTGTGGTCGAAGCCCACGAGTTAGTGGATGCCAAAGTAATAGCGCGTCTTCATCATTCAGCGTCCAGAAGGGTCACGAACGAATGATTCCCGACAAGGCATGGTCGATCAGCACAGCGAGTCTTCCCGAGCCGAGGCCTTTGTATCAGACGGGGCAAAATCAAGCATGATCACTGTCGCCAGTGACTGAGAGTGTGGCGAACAATACCAACTCTCAGAGATCACCAGAGGTACTGATTAAGAAATAGGAAAAGGGAAACGACAAGGCGTCGAACCTGAACGGAAGGGAGGGCTAAGACGGCGAGAGAGCAGCTACGTTGATGGTGTTCCGATCGGCCATCAGAAGTCTCAATCTGACGCTCTCCAGCCCCGGACGCTCTCCAGCCCCGGGGTTCGACTCATTACAGAGGCATGCATGGCCCTGTTCCTGGAAATCTGCTCCCTCCGCTGGCCGTCACGTCGACTGTCGTTTCGATTTCTGGCATCGGTCGTACCGGACAAGAAAAGAGCTGTGACCAACTCTGACTGGATCGAACGCCCGACACGGGGTGGGAAGACCGCCAAGAGAGGCCGTGAGATCATCACTTTCTTGGTTGACAGAGGCACAGAACAAAAAGGCCTACCAGAGTACGGAGATGAGTATGTGCTATAGCCATTGCGCTCGGACCGGCTGAGAGAAGTGAAATTGGCGGAAGCAATTTGGTCCGAAAGCACGCAAGACAGGTTGCAGTGCCAAACAAGAAACGCAAGCTCACTATCCACGACTCGGCGCCGGTCGTTGGCCCGAAATCAAGATGAAGCGTGAGCCATCCCCATTCATTCTGCGGGGGGCGTTGCTCTCTCTTGCCCGCTAGTTGTGCGCTCGGATCATTGCCGGGCCCTGTGCCTTTCTGGTTGCCTCGAGAAGAGTAGACCGCTACGACGGTCACTTCTCAATGAGCTTGCGATGACCAAAATCGGCAGCGGAGTCGGTTTCGACTGCCCACTAGCTGCCGTCTCCATAGTCGTAGCGTCCACGTGCCCAGTCGTCCCTGCGGCTTTCCCGTCCCTGCCGCTACGAGGCGGGCGTCAAACACCTGAGGGCCCTGAATCAGAGGCGCCGCCGCCTGGCGAGTGGATGAACGCAACGCAACCTAAGGCCGAGAGCGCGAGATTAACACGTACGCAATTACAATCCTTCCTCTCCCACCAGCCTCCATCTCAATCCACAGGTGCTACAATCTGCCAAGCTCTATCTCATCAACCACCGACCGCTAATCTATGTGGGCCAGCCGTCGAGGCCGGATCGTGCATTGCAGGCACGATTGTGTGCAGTCGCAGTGCGGCGCGAACACGTGGTGTAGACGAGCAATCAACCCCGCGCAGCAACGAGAGCCGATCTGCATCCGGCGAACAGGCACAATTGTCCTTTTCAGATACATCGACATCTCATTGCACAGTGTTGTCCGCACGAGCCTACCGAACAGTATGAGTGATGGCTTGTCTGTACAAGAGGTAATGAAT